GGCAGATACCAAAGAACAGAAAATTATCTGTTGATAATACCAGCATTCCCCCCCCTTTTTTTTTTAATCTAAAAAAAGTAATATTTGGTATCATTTTGTCAACTTTAGATAAATTTTTTGTCTAAAGTTGACAAAATGATACCAAATATCACTTGAGGTTGTTCTATTTGGTAGGGTCCGCATTTTGTTCTGCAACCTTGAAAAAATACATTAGATGGAAAAATTTGTGTTTACAAATATTTATTCTAAAGAAGATTAAAGAGAAATTCACAGCTTTTGATTATAAGACATAAGTAAAATAAGTAAAAATAAAATTTATTATTTTACATAAATATTATAGTAATATTGTATAAAATAAGGTACTACCAAATTAAGGTGTCAACAGCTACTATGACACCAGCTTGAAAGAATTGAAATGAAACTCAAAGGAACAGCTCCGAGGAAGCAAAAAGAGTAAATAATCAGGATTCTGCAGGATCCAGACTAGAGCAGGAGTGATGAAAAGAATGAATAATAAAGACTCTAGGTAACAGATCTAGGTCCTTTCAGTGGGACCTAGATCTGTGACTAGCGCCGGAGCATTTTAAAAATATGACACTTGGAGCATTTTAAAAATATGAGACTTAGAAAATTTTATAAAAAAAGATTCACAGTGAATCTATAGTTTCAGAATTGAATTTTTTTCAGGCCAGTCCAAATCAAACTGTTAAATAATAACTAGTAGCAATAGTTATTATCATATTTCATCTAACTTTTAGAAAAAATATTATTTACATCTAAAGAGAATTTTAAATAAAGTTTTTTGCTTGATTCTATGCTGCAGATGCTTGGCAGTACTTGGGCACCATTGATTGAGCAGAGGAAAGCAAGAAAATTTCTTTTACACTTTTGCATACGTTTGAACCAATTTTTTAAACACTTTTTCCTCTCCCATTGAGGTAACTCCAAAACATGCGTTTTGAATACATCAATCGCTTCTACTGATGTTGCGAATCGCCGACTACATAATTTATTTTTGATGTGCAAAAATAAAAAAAAGTCATTGAGTGCCAAATCAGTGCTGTATGACAGATAACCCATCAATCAGATGTTTTGGCCTGTCAAAAATTCCATTGTTTGAGCCAATGTGTGAGAGCTTGCATTGTCATGATGAAGAATTATTCGCGTCATCTGCGTTTTTTCAAATTTCTCCAACAACTTCTGGCAAACAAATGGTCATGTACCATTTGAAAATGACCACTTTGCATTGCTGTAAAGCCACTGTTGCCACGTGACTGGTAATGCCGAAGAAATAGGCAACAATTATCTTCAATGTGCTTCTTTCGCGAATAACTTTTGTTGGATTTGGCCCATCTTGAAGACCCATACAGTTGACTGCTGTTTTATTTCGGGCTCATATGCATAGATCCATGATTCACCACCTATGTAGATGTTATGCACAGCCTTTGATGCATTTTGAACATATTTTTCTAACATTTCCTTGCTCCAATCGACGCGAGGCTTCTTTTGACCATTTGTCAGATTATGTGGGATCCATTGTGAACAAATCTTTTTTACAGCCTAATGTTCATGTAATATCTTATTGATGTTTGACATACTAATGCCCAAAGAAGCCTCAATCTCATGGTATGTCACATGACGATCTTCATCAGTTCATGCACAGTATTGTGATTTTTTGGCTCAACAACCAATTTCGGACAACCTTCATGGAATTCATCCTGAAGCTAATGTTGATTACGATTGAATTCGTTAAACTAGTTTTATACAGTGCTGTAGGATGGTGCCTGATCGCTGTATAAAGAATTGAGTTCATCGAAGCACTCTTGTCTTGGTAATCCACGTCAAAGGTTATGAAAATGTCCACGAGCCAATTACATTTTTTTTTTTGTGATGAATTTTTCAGTTTACTGTAAACGACACAAATCATGCTAAAATGGCAAAACCTTCTGAAGAAGTTATGGTTAAAAATATCAGACTTTCTATTGAAATCATCTGCAGTAGCCTAGCAATACTTACTGTTGCCAATGCCAGAAATATAAATAGCAACCTTCGTACTAATATCTACATTTCCTAGTTTAAGAGTCTCCTAGAGTTTTTCCACAGCTAAAATTGATAAAAGATTAATAATAATGATGACCAAATCAGTGTTATAAGGAAAAAATACAGGTTATTTAAACATACATAATTTAATTAACAATTTTGTAGCTTCTGTAATCAGAAAGGTAAGATAAAGTAGGACGATTTGTAAAGAGTGACATCATGTATAAATAAATCAATATATTATTCTGTTGTGGCTTTTGTGATAACTGAATTACTTTTATAAGATGCAGTATTTTTATATCATCATATATCTAAGATTTATCGATTAAATAAATACAAATTTCTTGAAATTGATTTCAATTTTCAAATTTTGTTTAACGGGAAGGGTGTTAAAATAAAACTTTGCACAGAGGTGCTTCTGACCCACACTCCAGCATTGCTTCTTTACTTCATTATTTTATTGAAAAAATTGAAGTATGTAAGTATAATATTTACTATTAATATTACACCCTAACTTACTTTTATTTCTTATTTTAATTATAAATATTAAAAATTTTCTGTTTATATACTCTTTTGCAAAAATATCAAGGCACCAAGAAGGAATTTTGTAGTTGTGACGAAATTTGGTATGCAAAAACATCCTGATCGAACATGCAATTGAACAGGAATTGCGATCATGGTGCACAGTTTGCAAAGTATAAAACCAGTAACAGTTTATGTTTTTTGTTGCTGCCTTTGTAATTCCGTAAAGAAGCAACTAAAGATGCCATTATGATGATATCGAAGACCTTACAGACAACTAAATGACTTCGAACGTGGTTGCATTGTAGGGTTGCACGAAACTTTGTGGTCGTACCAAGCAGTAGACTGCCATCTGCAGCATATAGACACTGCTGTGCAAAGATGTTGGCAGAAATGGTTGCTACAAGGAAATTGCCGACAAAATGAAGGCTCTGGAAGGCCAAGGATCACAAATGCGAGGCAAGGGATAATTGTTCGCCAAGCCCAAATTGCCCCTACGGCATCATTTTCGACTTTTCAACGCACTACAGCCACGTTTATACCTTCCGTGGTACCATCCCCATCTCACGCCGCTTGTTCTGAGGCGGGTTACGCCAACAGAGGCCTTTAAGATGTTTGTCTTTGATCTCACAACATCGCTGAAGTCATCTGGAGTGGTGTCGCAGCCGATCATCATGACTGCCATCAGACTGGCATCGTATAGTGTTCAGTGATGAATCCCGCTTCACTCTTGAAGCAGATGACCACTGTTTTCGTGTCTGGAGAGGACGAGGCCAGTGGTCCCAATCAGCCTTTGCTTTCCAAAGGCATACAGCCATAACCCCTGGTGTGATGGAGTGGGTACTATTTCTTATGACAACAGGTCATCTTTAATCATCTTCCATACATCTTTAACAGCTGAACGATATGTTGATACCATCCTGGGGCCATTTCCCAACAAGATAATGCCAGGCCTCATACTGCTTGCATATCTCTGGACCGTCTCCGTGCGGTTGATACTTGTCCTTAGCCAGCAAAGTCACCAGACCTTTCACCAATCGAGCATGTCTGGGATATAGTAGGCCGCGAGATTTGGGTACCACAAAATATCGCAGATCTGAAGCAACAACTGATGAATGACTGGTAGAATGTGTCGCAGGATGACATTAGGAACCTCTACCACTCCTTGCCTCGACGAATTCAAGCATGCATTGCCGCCGGGGGCGGTTCGACCATCTACTAATTTGAACACTTGATGGGTGATTGTGAGCCGTGAACAGGTACTATGACCTTGATGTTTTAATCATTTTATTATCTGTGTAATGAGCTATAGATATATTCAATTTCATCAAAAAACCACTTCCTTCATGGTGCTTTGATTTTTTTGCAAAAGAGTGTATTATGAAAAAAAAAAAAAAAAAATAACATGCAGGAAACCAAATATTTTAATAAACAGAAGGTTGTGTAGAAGTTATTTTTCCAGATCAGGCTTCATTACAAAATGCACTTGAACATAGAGCGATGTTCAGAGCTGTAAGGTCAAATGGCTGTAAGGAACTTCATTCTCCTGGTGCTATAAGCAAAAAGGATAATAGAACATTTTTAAGGCATATGTAGAAAAGCAGAAGAAGGCAAACACAGAATATGTAAAAAATTTGTTATAGAAAAGCAAAAAAAATACAAGTCTGCAAGAATTAAAAGAGGAAATCATTGCAAGAGGGGGGAACAAAACCAAGGACACTGTTGACTTGGCTAATCATTCCATGAGCTACAGTTGTTTGTGACTTGTCAGTAGATATCTTATTGATCAACACATAAACTGATCAGAACTATTAGGCAAACTTAAAGAGACAATAACTACATCATTTAAAGAGTGATAATTAAAACACAGGGTGATTCAAAATGAATATGTCAGTTACAAATGATTATACCTATTTAATTGAAAATAATTTATCAGTAAGAATTATACAAGATATAAAATGAAGTTCAAAATTTTGTTAGTGTGTTTCATTAAATATACGAGCAGTATGTGGCCTGGCATTATCTTGTTGTTCAAAATTTGTTAGCGCAATAAATCAGAAGCCTGCACATGTACGAGTGCAGACTACATGGCAGTTAGAAATACGGTTCATTGCGGCCATATAGTAAGTGAAAATGGCGGATCCTGTACAGAAGGCATTCTGTGTGTTAGAATTTAACAAGTATCGATCTGTCATCGCAGACCAGAGAAGATTTCATCAGCAGTACATTCAAGTACTTTCAACTGGCAACAACATACATATGCAGATGGCAAGAGATGTTTGAACAAAAAAGGATCTTTGTGCAATGTAAAAAGTACTAGACAGCCACGTGTATCATCAGATAATGCTGAAGGAATTCACCTCAGGTAGGAGTGAAGCTCACAGAAATTGTTGCATGAAGCCGGAGGGAGTTACATATGCCACAAGCAATGTTTTGGGATGTTTCAGAAAGAGGCTAAAAATGAAACCGTATGCAATTCATCTTCTGCAAGAATTGAAACAGAAAGACTATGTCAAATGTATGAAGCCATGGAGGATGAAACATTTCTTGAACATCTCATTTTTAGTGAAGCAACCTTCCACATGAGTGGCAAGAGTAACTGGCGCAATATTCGAATATGGAGAAGCCTTGCAGTGGAAGTGAACATCACCATAACTCATTGAAAGTTAATGTGTCCTGTGCAGTATCAGTACATAAATTATGTAGTACAGTCAAAAGTCTTTAATCTGGATGTCCATAATCTGGAATGATCTATAATCCGGACCTCAAAGCTACGCTTCTGCGCATGCGTAAACGCATAATGTGTTTACGCATGCGCATAATACCTTTACTCATGCACATATGCATTTGCGCATGTGCATATTACGTTTACGCATGCACGTTTAATGTAGAATGGACGGTATAAGCTAAGCTAAAATTATCTAATTATTTATTTTAGTTAATGTTGCAGATTGCGTTGTTCCTTAATCTTCGAATTGGATCTGGCTTATTATTTTTTGCAGACTGTTAGAGCAATTTTATAAAAGTAAACTTCAACTTTCGATTATGTTAAAAAAAATTTCTGATTCTGGAACTGCCGAAGGATCTGCAAAGCGAAAGCATGTTTCCATAACCACAAACGAAAAGTGCAATTGCTGCAAAAAATGGATAGAGGCATATCCTTTATTTTTCTGACCATTCCAAAATCTGTTTATCAATTTCACGCTGCTCTTCGGGGGGGGGAAGTCACAACACGCAGTGAACTGGAAGTTCATCTGTTGGCCTGTTTGCACTATCCGTAGCTTCAGGGCAGATGTTTTTATTTTATTCGGCTTATAATTCCTAACTAAATGTAGTATTTCATCTCGATGTACTCCGTCTTTGATATGGTTTATATCAAATTCCTCATCATTATAAATATCATGAATACTCATCAAATAGTTTTCTGGTTGCAATTTTCTAATTTCGACTATGCTTAATGTATGCTTTACGCATGCGCGTGTTGAAAGAAATGTTTAATAAAGTAAACAAATAAATATTAAGCTTTTTTTTTTTGTAAATTTTGATACCCTTTAGATCATAATTGCTCTTTATTTCATTAATTACTTTTTCATATTTTTAATTTTATAATTTCTGCATGCCATCTTACCGGATTTAAACTGATGATCTATAATCCGAAAAAACAGATAATCCGAATCGCCGAAATCCCGACAAGTCTGGATTAAAGACTTGACTGTACTTTCTCCTTCATTGAGTGAATTATTACAGCAAATGTTTACCTTGACATGCTTGAGCAATGGCTGATGGCATAACTAGATACGGATTACATCTTTCAGCAAGATGAATCACCCTGCATTGGGGTATGGAGGTTCACTCATTTTTAAACCAACATCTTCCAATGCATTGGTCGGTCGAACTGGAGATGCCAAGGATGTGTTCTACTCTTGGTCACCTAGATCTCTAGACTTAACACCCCGTGATTTCTTTCTCTAGGGTTATGTAAAAGACCTTATGTATGTGCTTCCTTTGCCGAAAACAATTCTAGAACTAAAAATGCACATTTCTAATTCACTTGCATTGATAATTCCAAATATACTTCAAAATGCATAGCATGAAATGGGCCTGTTTAGATGTTATCTGTGTTACCAAGGGAGCCACATACAACATTTATAAAGTATGTAAACAAAATTTTGAACTTCTTTTATGTTCCGTGTAATTCTTATTGATAAATTCTTTTCAGTTAAATAGTTATAGCCATTTGTAATCTCTATATTCATTTTGAATCACTCTGTATATCTTTTGTATATTAATGTATGCCTGCAAGTGACACATTAAGGCATAAACGCAAGATGTAAGTCATGAAAGGAAAGGAAATAAAAAGGGCTTATTTCTGTGAATATCTCCAAACGTGTTGTGATAAATTGAGATTTTGGCCTTTTTTTTTTTTTTTTTTTTTTTTTTAATACAGTCAAAAGTCGTTAATTCGGACACCCATGATCCGGAATGATCTATAATCTGGACCTCAAAGCAACAAACATTCTGCGCATGCGTCGCATTCATGCATGCGCACAGGCGTTTACGAGAGCGCGTAAGACTTTATGGCCATGGACCTTATAAGAAATAGATTAACCCAGTGGGCGGGGCATGCATCACCGACATGTCGGCAAGAAAGAGTAGGGACGATCTGGTTTACTTTAACATTGAAACCTAACATGGCGTTTGTATCACATAACTCTTTTTAATTATTAAATGTGATACATTGTATTAGTAATAAGATTATGAAAGCCACAGTTTTTTCCAAAAAAGATTTATTATGTCTATTAAAGCACTTTTTACTGCATTTCGCGCATTTTTTTCACGCGTAATTCTTGTACAAACATCTTTACTTTGGTAAAACGGTAAAAACCCTAAGCACAAAATTTATGAACTTAATTTTACGTAAAAATAAATTTAAATAAGATTGATAGTACGTGATGCTTTGAAATGAATAAGTAAAATTAAACAAGATCTGATAATTTTTTTTAAAAAAATTAATGAAAATTTTCAGCCAGTGATTTTCCAAACATAATAACATTACAAACATCAAATTTATTTGATTTATAGGATCATTAAATTATTAACATTAAAGTGGATTAGTTATTTTAATAATTCATAAAATTCGGAGCAAAAATTTTCTAGATAATGAAGGGGAAAAAAAGATAAATAAAATCTAGAAGCACGCAAATTTTATATTAGCCCAAAAGGAACCTTTTTTTAAAGTTTTTTGTTTTACCTATTTTATTGAATATCATGTTCTTGCCCGTAAACCAAATACATTGAAAACAGCATATCTTAGAATTTCCCGCACTGGAGATAAAACTGTTATTTTCCGTACATGCTCGCTCTGAACTCGTTGAGTTTGTTATCGTTAAGTTTACAAAATATGAAATAGATTGAAACAAATTCGAAATTCAGCCGTCCAGATCCATGTTCGGGTAGAGGATTACATTACTCAAAATTTGGCTCTAGCTGCGTTTTTGTAGTGTGAGAAACATACATTTCATGCAGATTCTTCATTATTTAATTTCTTAAATAATACAGGGTGATAATTTTGGTAACAACAATTTGCAAGGAAACACGGACATTTATAGTAAAACAGCGCAAATGCCACTTTGAAACTAACAGCCTTCTAGGTACCGCTGCTTTGGGCTAATAAATTAAATGTACATAAATTAAAAAAATCTTATGCAAAGCTAAACAAAAAAATAATCACTATAAAATACAAGCAAAATTAATTATTACGGTTAAATACAATTTTATATTAGAATAAATGTATAAAAAATTTTTAAGGAGTCAAAGTGTTTATATATGATGTTTATAAAATATAATTGAAATAAAATTCCTTTGTAAAATTGTGCTATAAACTCATCTATAATTTTAAAAAAGCAGCCACAATTTAGAATTTTAAACAGAACTTTCAAAATTCGTTTTTAAATATTTAGTATTTTTACTTATTACACCAATAAAAAGCATAAAAATTGCAAGAGAAAATTACTTGTTTGAAATTTTCTATTAGTTCAGATTTAAAATATTATTTTCTAAAAGAAGTAGTTACAAATTTCCTACAGCATAGAAAAGCTAAAAATATCCAGTCCTGAAAGCATGCAATAGCTTCATAATATTCGGAAAGTTAATTATGCTTAACAAATATGCTAAATTTTTAAAAAATCAATCTCAATTTCAAAAATAAAAATATGGAGAAATTCTAATTTGTGAAATGAGACGCTACAACCAGATTTTTCTTGACAGTTATACACGCTGCAATAGGCAACCAATGTTAAATTTCTGTAAATCGTCCCTACTCTTCCGGTTGTGATCAAGGTGACAGCCGGAAACGCCTCAGACGAGGGAGAAAACCCGTTTGGGTTAGTCTGTTTCTTTTATAAGGTCCATGTTTACGGCTGCTAATATGTTTGTGCGCATGCGCGTTTAATATGTAACGGAGGTATAAGCTGAGCTAAAATTATCTAATTCAGTTAATGTTGCAGATTGCGTTGTTCCTCAATCTTCGAATTGTATCCGGCTTATTATTTTTTGCAGACTGTTAGAGCAATTTCATAAAAGTAAGCTTGAACTTTCGATTATGTCAAATAGAATTTCCGATATATATTTACTAAATATGTAATTTGTATCTACAAAGCGAAAGTATGTTTTGAAATCCGAAATCTGTTTATCAATTTCACGCCGCGGATTGGAAGTTGATCTGTCAGCACTATCCTTATCTTCAGGGCAGATGTTTTTATTTTATTTGGCTTATAATTCCTTACTAAGTGTAGTATTTCATCTCGATGTACTCCGTCTTTGATTTAAATCAAGTTCCTCGTCATTATAATTCCTCTTCCGATAGTGAAGAAAGTGACCCAGAGGTTATTGAAAACGAAAACATTTCGATTGACAAATTAGTCAGTATTCTCGACACAGCAATTATAGGACTTGAACAGCGGAACTTTGTAACTAAACAAGAAATTATGTCTGTTTAATAGAATTAAAGAGAAAGTATTATCATATGAAGCGAAGCAAATTAAATAACTTACATTGAAAGAAATGTTTAATAAAGTAAACAAATAAATATTTAGCTTTTTCTTTTTGTAAATTTTGATACCCTTTAGATCATAATTGCTCTTTATTTCATAAATTACGGTTTCATGTTTTTAATTTTATAATTTCTTCATGCCATTTTACCAGATTTAAACTGATGATCTATAATCCGGAATCGCCGAAGTCCCGACGAATCCGGATTAACGACTTTTGACTGTAGTAGCTTTTTTGTTATGGACGGGATTTCTTTTATTCTTACCATTCTTTTTAACTGCTGTGTTTGGTTGGACATGCGTTGGTGTTGTATTTTGATGTGGATACCATCATTTGAGTATGTCTGTGGTAAGTAAGAAAATGAATGTTGATGGTTTGGATGCTATTATACGTATTTATCCTCCTTTAAAGCTAATGAGCCGAAACGACCAAAAACTTAATTGAATTGCTTATGGGGAGGATAGAGGGGGATGATAGTGAGAAGTGTGAACATATGCACATAAAAAAAGGTATATTAAAAATTTGTTTCATTTATTTATTCGTCTCTGTTAATTTTTGTTAAAAGATTTGTTGTTTAATATTTTTATGTTAGGAAATATGTATTTTTGGTTATTTGTTCGTTTCTGTGTGTAGAGACAATGGCGAATTTTTTCTGGTTGGCATGATAGTTTTAGTTTTTTTTAGCTTCTTGATTTTGTTAAGGGGAAATAGATCGATGTGTACTTGGAGAAAGTTAAGACAGTGCATAGTTTGGGCAATTCTTTGATGATTTTTAAATTTAAATAGGTAGATACCAAGTTTGTGTAAGTCTTTGACTTCTTGTTTTGGTTTTGTGTAGCAGGTGTAAGGATTAGTACCATCTTGAAATTGGTGCTGATTTTTCCTAGCGCCGATATTGTCATCAAAAAGGAAACAATTCGCCAAGGGCTACCATAGAGTAAATTTTAACCGATGAATGAAAGACGACAAAATGTTTTGAGCACCACACCACCAATTTTGGGAAACTGATTTTTTTGACTTTGGCAGGCAAAAAAATTGAGACAGGAAATTGAGACGTATAGGACGGAAAGCTATATGATCAGAAAGTCTGGATAATCAAAGTACTAAGATTCCTTTGGAATTAAAAAGAAGGTATCTTTTGAAATAACATATCCTATATGAATGTGTTGTACATACATAAATATTACCTGATAAATAAGAATGAATTTTATTAAAATGAACATAAATATTTCTTCTTTTAGTGAAATTAATTTTCTTCCTTTTCATAGCTTGGAGGAATGTTGTAGATGTTGCTGTCGTTAACTGTGCAGAGTCTCAGAATGTAAATTTGTGTCGTGATTATGATATAAATGGTTTTCCCACTATAAAGGTTAGTTTTTATATTTTTAAATTTTATCTTGTTTGCCATCATTTATTTTTGTTAAACTATTTCTTATGTTTGGCTTACTGTATAAATTTTTCTACATTATTTCTGTTTTATGTTAACATATCATAGATTAAATAAAAAGTGCTTTTGTGAAAATATATTATGTAAAAGTGGAAAAAAAAAATAAAACGATTTTGTTGTATAGTTTCGATATACAGTATCCAGTATTTATAAATTTCAGCTGCTTATTATGTTGAGAGTCCCAAGAACCAAAACAAATATATACTAATGGAAAAATCACTGTTCATTAAACTCATTTCATGCTCCAGATTAGCAAAAGATTGGTTTTTCTGTATCTGAATATCCTGGTACCTATCAAAATAATGTGTAATTTATCCCTTTAACTTACTAATGGCCATAGTTTATATATTGTTAAGGTCTGTCGAACTTCAATAAAACCAGTTGGCCAGAATTTTGGCCAGTATGATTCTACTCTCATCTGGTCTCTGTGTCTTTTGAACTACAGTACACTCCCGATTATCCGCAGAATTGGGTGGCGCGGCCGCCGCGGATATCAAAAAACGCGGACAATCCGAAAAAAGCTAAAAACGGGTATAGCAAATAAGAAAACAGTCATTCAAACTTTGAAAAATCGTTTTATGTACAATAAAACGTAAAATAAACAGCAGGAAATGTTTAACTAACGCTTAATATTTTAGCTTATTACGCTTAATATATTCTCCCCATGAAATTCGATTTCTCGAATTCCATGTCGCTGCTTAAAACGAGTCAAGCCAGCCAGAAGATGCATCAAAATTTCCTTTCCAGGACCTAATAACTCAAAAAAGGTTTTTGCCTTCGCTGCAATGATAGGACCATTTACAGGTGTACCTTCTTTTCGAACTTGAGCTAACCACTCTGTTAATGCCATGTCTAGCTCATCAAAGGTAGAACCCTTCATAATTTTTCGTGTTTTCGTTGCGGAAGCACTGTCCGACATTGATGCAAAGTTCACCAGTTTGTCTTTTTGCTTTAGAATTTCATGCACTGTTGTTTCCTCGATTCCGTAATCCAATTCCATCTGCTGCCTTGTAGTGCCCTTTGCTACTTTGGAAATTAATTCTAGTTTTTGCACAATCGTCAACACAACCTTCTTTCGTTTTCCTGACATTTTAAATCGGTAACGAAAAACACAAAACCAGAAAGCACAAGCATTGAACTCAATAAAAGATAAGAAATTAACTCCGACCAGTTCACAAATATATCAGGCTTAAACTAACAATGGCGAGTGGGAGGAAGTGGACATGTCAGTAAGATTAAGACGAGAGAGGGCGGTGGAGCGGGCACTGCAAGGGTGAGCAAGAAATCACTTATTACTCATCAGAGGGAAAGGTTCCGAGAAGGCCTAATATATTTTTGCCATAAATAAGCACATTTAACGTGTAACGCATATTTAATGTTTCTCTCAGTTTTGTGAACATTTTTATTTTCTTTGCTTTACACTTGTTAAAAAAAAAAAAAAAAAAAAAAAAAAAAAAACTTTGTTCGGCAGGCGCGTATAATCGGGAGTCTACTGTATGTTTAAAAAGCACTTTATCTGTAATGTAATGTAGTATACGTATGAGCTGCGACCTTCCTGGCCGATATTAATCAGCTTATTAATGGTTAAAACAGCATACCCGACTTACACCCTACCTAAAAAATATCACAAAATTGAAACTCAAGTTCTTTGCCTATATTGGAACTGAGAGGAACATTTTTTTTTAAGTCAGTGAAAGCATTCATCTAACAGTGACTTGAACTCAAATTGCATGTGGGCTGCATGCATAATCTAAAAACAAGTAAAGGGCCAGGTTTCCCCCCTTTTGTTTACAAAATGAAAACATTTATTTAAAAAATAAAAAATAATAATTTAAATAAATTTTAAATTTCACTTACTAAATATTTATGGAAGTGTGACGTAATATCATAAAAAAAAAAACACAACTTTGTATTTATTTTCTATCTGAAATATAAAGTTTGGATTTTGCAAGAAATATTTGTTGGAAATGCTTTGTGATTCAAAATATGCTGACAGCTAAATTTTAAATTCTTACACCATTCCTTTCAAATAATTCCAGCATATTTAATCAGTCATTAAATAATTTAATTTAATTTAAACTAAGAAATAAACAAATTATGAAAAATTTCTAATGTTTTCAGAGAAACTTTTATGGGACAAAACTTGAGAATAAATAATGACAACAACAACTTAATTTCTCTCTCTTATTTATTAAATTTTTCTTCGGATTATAAGTAAAAATACATATGTTTATATGTAAATAATTATAAATTCTTTATTTTTTACCACAACATGACACTTGATATTAGATTTTGATAAGCTTTTATAGCCTTGGAGATAAATTACCAGAAACTACTTTGATCATGGACTGTAGATCCTTACTGGTTAATTGGGCTCCTCTCTTGTGAGTTTTCAGCTGCGAAAAAAAGCTGCTTGCATATAAATATATTCATAAACAAAATTATTATTTTTAGTGCAAAAGTTCATAACTGAGCTTATTTATTTTTGACAAGTATGGAAAAAAGTTAATGAAATCTGTATCTTGAAATCTTGGGCTAACAGTTATATTACATTGTAAATTAATTAACTACATTTGTAGATTTTCTGGCACATTGTTCATATTAGCTTTTATTGGAAATGAAAATAATAAACTCGAACTTCAAATAACTAAAATCTTGAAATCTTTGTAACATCATATTTGCAACAAATATGTAATTGACATATCTTCACAGGCCACATAAAATTGCTTTGAATGCTGTATTTGCCCTATGGGCTGTCATTTTGGGCTATCATTTTGGGATCTAGAACAAGTGTGGGCAAATAGTTTTAATTGCAGGCCAAACAGGTCTTTTTTAGTGCATCATGCGGACAAGGTTGTGATGGTCTTTTGTGTGCCCCTGTTGTTTTGAAAACACAATGGGGAGGGGAGAACTCCTTCCTAGTAGAAATTTTTTAAAAGTTTCAAATATGCCAAAAGCGGGATCTCTTCTTATAGGTCATCAAATGATTCACATATTTAGTGTTTCATTTTTAATTAAAAATTTAGGGGTGAAATGTTCTTTCTCTAAACTTCCTTTCCTGATCAACAACAATACTTATATTTTATTGTTTAACTCTAGATTAAAGCTGTTAGAAGTGATAGGACTGCATTCTTTGGATGTACATGCTTCCTAGCATATCTAGTACAGTACAAAGTCCGAGATTAGGATGTCCAATATCCAGAATGATCTGAAATACATACCTTAAAGCCACCACCAAAAAAATTTTTTTTTCGAATTATGCTTTAAAAATAAAATATCTCATTACGAATCATTTTAGCATGAATTTTTGTGATCAATAATTTGGCCCAGTAGCTGCATATCTGCTTGGCATACATCTCGAACCAAAACTTTCTACATAGAAATATCTTTGATTTTACATCTCCTAATATTTATATCCCTGACGCCAACCTTCATTGAATACCAAAGAGTATGGAAACCTTTTATGTTTACATTAAACTTGTCAATGATTAAAGATTTATGTTAAATGCACTAAATATTGACGAGGAAAAATTTAACAAAAATTTCTTTCCTTATGCTAAAAATAGATTTTGTTAATGGTACTCATAGGCCAAAAGATTACATTTGAATGAAGAATAACTGATTTGTTACTCACAGAAACTCAGAACCAGCCAGAGCTCGTATAGCTGAACTGAGGTGCAGAGAAAATTTTTTTGTAGCGGAAACTGTTAAGCTAGGCTAAAATTATACTTTACTGATTTCAAAGAATTTCAATTAATATAGCAGATTGTGCTTTCCTTAATTCTCTGATTTGATCCCGCTTATTATTTTTTGCAAACTGTTATAACTACAGCAATTTTCTACAAAGTGAAAGCATGTTTCGATGCCCATTAAACAAAAAGTGGAATTGCTGCAAAAAATGGATATAGGTATATATCCGTCTCAAAATTATATGAGGAATATGCCATTGGAATGTCGACCATATATGATATAACAGAAAAAAGGAACTTTATGATTTTTTTTTTTTTTTTATTTTATTTTTTTTTATTTATTTTTTTTTTTTTAATTCTGACACCCCATTTGCAATGAATAACAGAAAAATTATTCTCTATGCTAAAAGTGACAGTCATGATAAATTGATGATTGATTGGTCAGACAGAGATGCAGTGAGAGCACGTCATTGCTGGGTCCAATGCTAATGGCAAAAGCTGAAGTATTTTATGAAAAAATAAAAAACTAAGTGCGCATATTCAACAGATTGGTTAACCAAATTTTAAAATCCTCATGGTATAATGTAATTAACATAATTTCAGATGAAAAGCTTCAGCTCATACTGATGCTACTGAACTATTTGCTGATGAATACATTGAACTCAATAATAGTGAAATGTTATCTCCAGGACAAATTTACAATGCTGATGACACTGTTATTTTCTAGCAATAAGTACTGTGAAATGCCTTGGCAATCTCTACAGAAAAGGCTGCAACTGGTGTCAAAGATTCCAAAGCTAGATTAACAATTTTAGCATATACAAATGCTGCAGGAATGCACAAGTGTAAACTTTTCATAATTGCAAAACATAGTTGCACGATCTTGAGCATTTAAAGGAGTAAAGATTTTCTCGTTATATATCATGCAAATAAAAGAACATGGATGCCACAAGTGTTAATGTATGATTGGTTTGAAAATCATTTCATACCCAAGGCTCAGCAATATTTGAATTTGGTTGGTTTACCTGACAACGTAAAAATTGTCATGATTGTAGATAACCGTTTGGCTCATATTTCACGTAAAGTTTTGATGGAAGATAATGTATCCATGTTATTCTTTCCTCCAAACTGTATATACATCATTCAGCCTATGGATATCAGAGTAGTGCACCTGCTGAAATGCAAATATAAAGTAGCATTTTAAAAATCCATGTTAAAATTTCTTGAATAATG